CATACGGGATATTATGGAGGTCGGGTGGCCCGTATAATACGGAATTTGTCACTGAAGGGGCTCCTTTTGTTGATTGCTCATACATTAGATGTTGGAAGGGCAGTCCAAGCATAGGGGCCGAGGGGTGCTCGGGGTCATCTAGCAAGGGGATGTAGTTTAGTGTCATTCTGGACGTCTGCACAGTTTATAGTCATGCTGGACTTGGGCGCAGTTTAACCTCATGCCAGAGGGTAGAGTCAATGATTAGGAGTCAGTAGCAGTGGGAAGAGAGGGAAGTCTAGGGAAAATGTGAAAATAAATGTAGTTTTACCCCCTCAAAAGGTCGTTGGTCTACCAGACCAACCTAAAAATCTAAATTGAGGTCTCCGCAGTTGGGATCATCGGCATCCGCGACAGGTACAAAGTCTAATACCCTAATGGGTACGGGATCTACCAGTGTCAGGGGCTGGTGTAGAGACTAATATCTCTGTGGCCTTGCAGCCATCTAAATTCCCATCATCCCAATCAATTCCTAATATAGCACGACTCATATCTCACCTAGCGTGCTCAAGCGCTTCGTGGGCCGCTCACGCGCACTAGCACTTTGGTCATGCATTGGTCGCGTTTTTTGGCACGTGCATCTTCAGTTCCATTGCCCGTCCTCTGTCCATCCATTCCATGTCCGTTCAGTTCGTTGGTGCATATTCCAATTCTATTTTCATTGATTCTGACATATCTCCGGCGCTTATGGCCATATTTCGTATGTTTTCCATTATGGACCCTTTTATTACATATTATCTCGCATCCACTTCACTTCTCGGTTTGCTTTAGCGCTTGACAGCGCTTAACATTACTTAGTATATATACATGCGCCTAAATTGTATAATGGGATCTTTCTGCCCACACATCGTTGGACTATAAGTCTAAGTTCTCCCTCTAAATCTAAAGTATCTAAGTACAATATGAGCGCCGTCGCCATACATTACTAGAGACTCTGCCAATTAGTTTTCTGACTCATCAAAAGTCGCTGCACTCCACCACCTGCATACACGCACCGCTACCGCTTAGTGCGTGCCATCGCTTATCATCAGCTGCTGTCGCTCATCAGCGCTTCACATCGCCTTCGCCCACTCGCACTTCGCTCATCGTCGCGCGCCTTACCAGGCTTGACTAAGGCGCCCAGTTCAGTGTTTCCCTCCATATTATACACTTAGAGGAACCTTCTCAGTAGCAATCCCCTTGGGCCGACGTATATCTCACTCATCGAGGACTACTTGAGTTATCTCATACTACTCATATTACCCCCACTTCCCATTCCTCTTCTACAACTGGAGCCCACCGTGAGGGGATCATCTGAGAAAACTGGTAGGTTACTCAGGCCTACGAAAGAACGTGTCGCAAGAAACGAAGTATTAGAAGAATTCCAAAGAGCAGTTGCCTCTTCGCACCTATCCACCATTCAGGAAATTTTGACTCTGGTCAAATACAAGTGCCCGCAGAACTTCTCGGAGCCAACACGCCCCAATTTATCCCTATTAATGCCAAATCTGTTTGCACCTGCATCGCCGGTCACGCCATCGCCCAAAGAATCAGTACACGGTGAATCCTCAGATGACTTTGAATCACATGACCACCCCCGCAACCTGCCACCCAGCGTGTTTGTTGAAACACCTAAAAATCCCTTAGATCCCAACTTTAATTCCTTATCCCCACTTACCCTGCTAACCGTTTCTAGTGCAACGGTCAAAGAAGAACCTTTATCTCAGAAATGCACACCGCTGATAAGCGAAGTGCCTGTTGTTAAAACAGAACAAACGAAACCCCTAATCAGGCTGACGTCTATTTGGAACTGCACCGCCATATTTATCCCTCATTTCACTCAAGCAGGACTATCCAATGTCATACTCCCAACACCCATCATAGCCAAACCTCAACCTACCAAACCTCAACCTCAACCTGTCAAAATGTCTACTATCAGAATGCCGATCCATGGCTCAGACAAAGCGCCGAAGTTTGACAGCACGGCGGAAAATCTCCTTGCATTCATCAAGGATTATGAGTCATGCGCCGATGATGTGATCCTGGTCGGAGGCGACCAAATCAAAGGTATTATCCACTACCTGCCTAACAGCGAGCGCGCGCTCTGGTCTGGAATGCCAGAGGCAAAGTTAAGCGATTATGATGCCTTTATTGAAGAAGTAAAGGAAATGTACCCCGGCTGTGAAGGCAAAAAGCACTACACCATTTCTGACCTTCAGTTGGTTACATGCAAACACGCGGCCCTACCAATGCCTTTGCTCACCGAGCTTGGCAATTACCGCCACGCGTTCAGAGAGATCACCGATTCCTTGATCGCAAAAGATCACATAGGTAAGGCGGAACAGAACTGCATGTGGCTAGAAGGGTTTCCAAGCAATGTTCACCATCCGCGTGACCCTTACCCCTTTGCAGATGTAGACGCAGTGTAAGACCTATGGTCTTTTCAGCCTTGTATAGGCCATATTTGCCATCCCTCAGACTCTATTACCCTCTGCATTGTTTTGAACATAGCGCGTGGTATTTTATCGTCAGCCAACGGCTGCAGGTCATCGGCTCACATCAGCTTTTCTTCGGGTCCTTCACATGTCCTCTGTCCATCCTATTCATATCCTCCATTGGTTCATTGGTGAGTGTCATACTCAATTAGTATTAGATTGACTTTATTTCCGAAGCTATTTCATTTATATTCTCATTACATGTGTCACAGACCCTACTTACATACTTATTGCTATCTACTCAGTCCCAAACAGCACTTAGGCGCACGTACATATATATCCCATATTTATGAAGTTCATGTATTTCTTTTTCCCTCACTGGAAATCTATCCTCACTCTGCATGCAAAATCAGAACCTCCGCACTAAGCATTCAGTAAAAACTTTGGCTTATCTCCACATGCATCTTTCTATCAGCTGACTTGCCTCCATACATCGGTACTTTCATGTAACAACCGGTTTACACATTTTCTATGTATCGACTCGGCCACACTCTCTAAGTGTGCAAACGTACCTTTGGCCGCAGGTTTCTCTATCACCTCATACGTTCAGCGCATCGTATTGCATCAGCTTATACCGCTTCGCATCAGTTCGTGTCACTCTGTGTTGCATCGCATCGGCTTTCGCATTTCCTCACTTCTCAACATTACTTACTAGTTTCCCAAGTTCCCCTCAGCATATTTTACTTAGAGGAATCATTCTCAGTAGCAATCCCCTTGGGCCGAATACTATACTCGTGTCCAGAGGTCTATTTGAGTTTTACCCCACTTCACCCTTTCTTTCCCTTTCACCCCTTCTCATCTAGCTATCATTCCTCGCACACATTGGTTCAGGTTCGGACCACAAAAACACCGAACCAGACCATAGAGAACCATTCTCTATGGTCCAGTTCTGGGTTCAGACATTTGGTAGAACTGAACCGATGGTCCAGTTCTTGGTTCTTGTCTAGGACCCTCCGAACCGGACCATGGCAGCACTAATAGGAAAGGTTTTCATCACATTAGAATATAAAGTGATATAAAGCAATATATGACTATGCAAAAGCACCATAATCAGCATAATCCCCAGCAAGAACTCACCAGTTTACTGATGCTCTTGTCCAATTGTTAGTGCTAGAAATATTATGAGATTATCAGCAGTTTTCAAACAATGTCCTGCTCACCCCAATTGTATACTACCATGATGCTTGTGGCAACTGCAAAACTGCAGATCAATGTTAGATCTAGACATCTTGAGGCGACAAACCTGTCCAATAGCTATAAGAGATATTTGAATTGATTATTGGCCACAAACTGGGATCATTTAAGACTGTGGTCATATTCAAGGGATGGGTATGAGTCAGTGGGGAATGTTGGAGTGTATAACGATAGCATTCGTGCTAGATATACTGCTGTTCAGTGTTTCTATTACCAAAATCTGCATGATGGAGATGAACATTTGGTCCTGCCTCGAGAGTCAAACAGCCCTTCAATTACCCTTATGGAATAAGGGCTCATTGTGCGACACAGCATCAGAGAACTCAAACAGGAAAGCATGGCAGAGTGGGTCAAAAGTGGAGCAAATCTATCTCATCTTATCCGTTGCCTTGTATATGCTTCAAACCTTATAAGCAGGCTATCATGATTATATCAAAACGATGAACAAATAATATGATAACCATAGAGCAAATCCGATACAAAGCGCACCATGTTCAATGTGCACTTGGTGTAATGATGATGATTGCACTGCCAGATTCATGATTGATCTCCAAAGGTTTAAAGAGAAATCGAACATGGGAGACAACTTACAAGAAGTCATTTTAAACTGCATCTTGTCAACATGAACAAACAATTGCGAACCGAGGCGTTACTTGAGGAAATTCTGCAGAACTTCACTGAAGGCTCAAGCGGCGCTTAGCGCTTACTATGCAACAACATCAATTTAACAGCAACTTGGAATGTTGGGCTTTTCCTAGCATTTGGAAACTGGAACCGTTGTCGGCGCTAGAACAAGTCACAGCGAGAGTTGGAGAAACCACGCTGAGGTGTGAAGCGGGGAACTGACGCGTATAAGTACTGCACAAAAAGGACGAAGAAGCTAACGGAAAGCACTGTGGGAAGTAAAAACACTGAAAATAAATGTAAAAAGCACTACATGACAAATATCAATGACGCAGACACTGAAAAAGGCAGCAGTTATTTTCAGTGTTCACGTGACCATCATGTCAATCAGTACTAAATACACTGACTAATCAAACCAAGCTTTTCAGTGTCGGTACTTTCAGTGGTGAAAACGCTGATTTGTTTTCTCAGCGTCTAAAGTACTGGTGATGTTCTCCATGACCGTAGGCCTCTACACATGGTCTCCATCCTCGTAAAGGAGTTTAAGTTTTCTGGTATTGTGCATGGTTTGGGACGTGCCTTTGAATGGGAACTCTTTTGCTGCCGGTCATGCAGGAATATGAAAAGGGAAAATCACCCTATGCACATTTGAGGCATGCCACTGCCAATTTGGGCAAACACATTTGTCACGTGATAGATACAAACAACACGTCAACAAAGGACTTCTTCGCAATCGTCCTTGGATTGGTCGCCTCTCCGTCCACTATACCAAAAACAAGGCCATTGAGAAGTTCAATAGGTGAGTTGAGCATGCTCTCGCAGCTAAGCACTATATACTCAGGCTATACTCTGTTTCTCCCCAACACTCCATCTTGAACAGTGCCTCTAGGAGTAAGCGCTACCTAATGAGCAATTTGTGTTATGGGACTCCCAGGGCCTCTCTCAAAAGGAGGGAACTGGTGCGTAATGATCGTTCATTCTTATTTTAAGGTGGACAAGTTAAAATTTGATGCATATACTCACTATAACTGCGCATATAGCCACTCAAAGGCCCACACCAGCACCATGCGCAAACGCCCAACGCACGCCAGCAAGTGCTGACGTGGAGCGAACACTCGCGGATGACACCAGGACGCCGAAGACACGAAAAGGACGAGAGGCGGCACTCATTCTTGCTCATCGCACTCTCATTCTCACTCGCACGCAGCGCTTGTAGACTCGGCTCTGGATGGGGAGTCACAGTGAGTGAGTCTGTCAATCCTCTCTCGAGCTCAAGCCATGCTGATCCAAGCTGTTCCCCGCCATTTGCAGTGAGTGAGTCTGTTGGTTTTCCTTCGAGCTCAAGCCACGCTGATCCAAGTTGCTGCCTGCCATTCGCAGTGAATGAGTGTGTCAATCCTCCTTTGACTGGAGCCATGCTTATCAAAGTCGTTGTCTGCCGTTCACAGGGTGTCGATCCTCTATCAAGTGTGAGCCATGCTGATTGATGTCGTTGCCCACTGTTCACAGTGTCTTAGTGAGTCCTTTTTTACCATCGTTTTTTTTTCACTCTTGTTTGTATTCCGACAGTTTCGGCGACATTCTCGCACGTTTGCGTTCATTTTATGCGAGCTCAAGACGACGCTGATATACTTCAAAAAGGCAACCGTCCTCCTTGCTACAAGTGGTGTTTTCGTCAGTACGAGCTTCATCACCTGCTCCATATTGTCTACTCTTTATATCTCTCACCCCCCAGCTTGTCCCAGAACTCATTCTCCGGCAACTCCACTGTAGGCTCAAGCTCAGCTGCGCTCAACAAGGGCAAGTGCGTAACATTGTGCGGTGCTCTCATCCGAGTCATCCCAGCAGATCCTACAAACCAATTTAGATGCGCTCAAGAGTCAATATCATTTCCCTGACACTCGATTACTGCGTTTGAAGCAACGGCAGCCATACACCTTGTTATTCGATATGCTCTCGCTTTGGACTCTTTTCACAGATCCTGGACGCAAGCTAGTTACCTTTTTTGACTGCCCATGCGTCATGTATCACTCTCAAATTAGTCTATTGTAATCCTATTCATAATTGTCAGCATCGCAAATGGTGTTTTTCAGTGTTTCGAGGAGTATCACGATCTTTGTTGTTAATCCGATTTCAGCGTTGAAAACACTGAAAAATGTCACTTTCACTGTTCTAAACACTGAAATTTTGCACATCTTATCTTCTGGTTCTGATGTTGACTGCGATTCAAAGATACAAAACCGTGAAAGTCAGTGTTTTGGACCCTGACTTTCAGTATTTAAAACACGGATTTCCAGTGTTTTTACTTCCCACAGTGAAAGGATGGTACCGGTAGCAAGAAGAGACAACGTTAATCGTAGCCTTGTGGGGACAGTGCTTCCTCCGGTACGGTGCTTTCTTCGGTACCTTCTTCAACAACTGTGGTCGAGTATCACAGCCGCTCGGCGCTCGGCAACTTTGCCGCGTATCAAGGTTTCGATCAAATGCGGTCCAATTTTGACTACTGCATGGTCTGAGGCCTCATCTTCAACAAGGGCGTCAACCGGTGATAAGTCTTCTCTTCTTGTTTCCTGAAACCAACTCATTTCTGAAAGGCTGCGCAGCGTAGCCGGTGGAACCATATTGAACCTTATAATTATCCGCTCTCGGGCTGTTACCCATGAGCCATGGCAGGAAGCACTGGAAGCACTTCATAATCGTTATCAAAATAGGACTCGGACACGCTGCGGTGCCGGACCAACAGTACCTGTGACAACGTATCAAGATCCGGATGAACTCTGCTGCAATTCCTCTGATTTCAAACTTCAATCCCTCTGTATGGGAAATACTAGGCTGAAGTCTTTCGATGGCATATCTACTTTTGATGCACACCATTCAAAGATCTTGGTCCGTTGATGAAGAGCTTTGGCTGAGAGACTCATGTTTACAACTTTGTGGATTTCCAGAATTAAATTCCTCCGATCCTCGAGGTGGGAAAGCAATCGATAATATTCCGCAGGCAATCAATCAGCTTCTTCCATGAGGCAAGATGTATGGCGTAGGCGCCTTTGGTTGTGCCCTGCAGAGCGTCTAGAAGAAGGTGAAGAAGCACTGGTTTTGAGACATGCTGATGGAATCACTGCATGAGGCGTAGAGTTCGGGAATATCTATGTAATGCTGTTTCGTGCTTGTGTGATTGTGAACCACTCTAAATTGCTAATACAGGACGCCTCAAGATTGCGGGCTATCGGACCTCAGTGTCGCCTAGCAGGGGTATCCAATTACGAATATTCGAAATTTGCTCCCTGTCCATGCGTTGTATCTCTATCAACTTACGCAATGTGAGGTACAATGACAGCACGTGCTATAATCGCACTATACTGACAACGCAATCCAGAATAACATTTAAACATCTTGTACAACAACCAGAACCTCGTATTATGATGCATCGATAATTGTCCGCAACGCACTCAGAAGTCCTGCAGTGGACTTCCATATGAAAATACGTATTGTTAGTGCATCCTGTGTAACACGTGCTCTGAAGTCACAACCCATGAATTTTGGTGGCGGCTCTCGAGACCCTTGGCACGTTGTGTTTGCAGTCTCATCTCGGTTCGTTTAACGCTAGAACTCAGATGCTAACGCGACATCATACTACCATCCGGACATTCATCGAACGCCGAATCGATATCTCGGAGCCGTTGTGAGTGTTGCACAGCTGACTCACCAATTTATCAAGATTTACTCGAAGAGAAGTAGAAATAAGACACTGGTATATATACCTTTAACTTCTAGTTTCCTCCAACGCCATTCAGCTGACACTTGTTATTACATCCGCTTTATACTTAAGGTATGATATCTCGCCGCAAGATGTACTGGGTCATTGAAACCGAAACTGAAAGCAGGTCATGATCTCATTATCAAAGATGTTGAACAGCTGTTATGATGCCTGGTCAAGTTCATTGTACGTTGCCATTTTCGACTGATGAATCACATGCGGTTTGTTCAATGCAGTCCCCAGGCATCTCAACCGTAGTAAATCTAATGGGTAAGTTCCATCTTTATACTTTGAAATGCGATACCGAATAACAGATCGGTGCCCACTAGCCGATCGCATTCAAATGTTTTTGAGATAGAGATATCTGGTTTGCATTTTTCTCTATACGATAGCTGTCGATCCGGAAGGCTCACTACTGTGCAGATATCTCTCTGCGTGGAAACCTGCCCAAAGTTGGGACGACTTCGTTGGACGACTTTTTCTGCGTGCGCATCGGTGTTTGCAACCAGTTGCAGACAACGGGCTGGGCACTACGATCTTACAAGTGGAACAAGACACATCGCTTGTGAGTTATCAATAAGTGTGATTGCTATGGGAATTAACTATGCGCGGGACTCTCAACAAGCAAAGTTGATGAGTCCTCCAAAGTCACATTCAGCGTCGATGCCTGTGATATCCGACACTCCGGGAGGATTGGTAGCTTCGAGGAAACCGTTGGAAAGCTCTTGGAACGCCCAGGTCGTAAGTGAGGTTTGATATTTCCCCTTCAGCACATTTAACGCATCTTTAGCCATCAGGCAGACTGTCAACTTGTATGGATCAGGAGGCCAAGAAATCGAGATTCACTTTAGCATTGCCCGCATCCAATATTCGACCATCAACAAGTTATCTATCTCTTGTGAGCAGTCAACCATCCTCTATTGAGCGCTATTTCTCAAATCATTTCTGCAGACGTCGACCTGCAAGATTTGCCCTCCATCCATCATAACACATTTCGCGTTCAAGTGGCTATAGATGGCACTATCTGGGAAAGCTCTTCAAAGCCCAGTAATCAAGGATGCTCCAGATGGACAGACAGATATGATTTGTACGTTGACTGATGCCGTCCATATGCACATGTTTGACGCATTCTCGACAGTCCATTCCAACTCGACTCGCATGCTTCACTGCAAATTTTTGCTACACGTTGGCTCCACGGAAACAAGCCGATAGCTGTGGTGGAAGGTTCCGTGAAAGAATGGCTCGCTGCGCCCAATGGTGGTAGGTTACCTATGAGCCTCTGTGTAGCCCACTCACAACATCCGCAGTCTTTAGCAAGACTCTTGAGTCTATGGGCACAAAATTTCAGCTGGAGTTTAAGGTCTCTCAGACTTCTACCGCTGGTGATTTCTACGTTGAGAAAGCTGCCGATCCGGTGGTGGAGAAACATAACAAACTGGACACAAAGGAGATCGATGCATTGGACATTTCCGGTACATCTCAGTTGATACTAATGATTTCCACTGTTGCTCACGGTGTATTGAAAGCCATTATCCTGGACATCGACCCCATTCCTAAATTCGGAAAGCTGTCTTGGGATGATCGATTCTTCCTCGAAATCCACGCGATGAATAATGGAGAACCTCATAAAGTTATATCTCAAGCGCAACAGGGGGTGAAGTGCTTGATGTGGGATACAACATTCACGTTGTAAGTGCTCCCATGTCGTACCGTTGCGCAATAATTTAGGCATCCCAGTAACGTTTCTCAGACATCACGACTCGTATTCCGTGTTCTCGGCTACGACGGAAAAGATAGCGATCCAATTCCTATTGGCACGACTATCTTCGAAGTCGATGAAATTCTGCAGCAAACCAGCTGTCAGTGTTGTTTTCCGATGACGAGTACATTGATTTAACGACGAACGCGCCAACAGTGATTAAACGTCCGTTTCTATCTGCAACATCCGTGCGCATAGATGGAATGCCCACTTTGTCTTTCAGAGCAGCACAAGCTGGTGCTATGTCATTTACAGGGTCTTCGTCGCTTACGGCTCGGAGGTCTTTGGATTCTTTCACGCAGCTTTCTGCCGCCGTTAACCGTACTGCCCATCTAAATGTCCAACCCAAACAACCAAGAGACCATACTCAAAATAAGAGAATAATTGAAGATGCGATTTCTCGGGCTAGCAAATACAATAGCGGCGATGAACACCTTTACCCTCTCCTGGTAAAGATCGGTATCTTTGTTTCGGTGGCTGAAAGACTGGCTAAGGTATAGCGAACCTTTCTCACAATACGCACCCAGAAGAACTAGCTTGACTCATTTTTTTAGCTTCACCCCTACGCAAGTATTGCATATTCGATACTGGCAACAAGATACGAGGTTTGGGTGCACCGTTTCTATTGCTTATGTGTTATAAAATCATCGTTATCAGGTCATCAGACAACAGATCGCCCGCGAAAACGGCGTGATTCGGCTGATGCATACTATGCAAGAAACTTACGATCTTATTATGGCCGTCAATTCCCTCCCGTATCTGTATCGACGAAAAAATGTTATCGAGGCCATCGTGCAGCAAACAATCGAATGCGCGTTCTTCATCCGCGATTATGCGATTACTCGAGGCAGCTGTGAGTCTTCCAGGTGTAGTAGAGTTCTAGCTGATGTCAGACGCCATTCGTAAAGTTGCGCAAGTGATCAGGAATTCAGTACTGAACGTGGAATCTCAGATCAAAGAATTCGAAAATGCATTCAAAGACCTTCAACGCAGTTTTCAGAGCCA